TAAAGTACAGTTTGATCCTCATTGTTTTTTTTTTTTTTACGGATGATAACCGAATGGTAACCCCATCTGTGCTGTCGGTATGTGCTGGCGGGGCACCAATGAGGGGTGATAGATAAGAATGAAAGCAGGACAGTTGGCCCCTCGTGATGATGGTTTCCAAAGGAAACCGCGTGAAGGTGGACTTGATAGGTATATTGCAAATAATAGGCCGGTTAATATCCATTACTAACAATTTATTCATTTAAACTTTTTTGACAAATAAAATGTGGTACAAAATAGAGTTAATGCTATAGGCATTCAGGTTCAGGTTTAAAAAAATAAAATTAATATTTTAATATAAGAAAGTAAATTATCAAAAGTAAACAATCGCTTTTCCCTCGATCACTTATTGTACGAAGCCATTTAAAAGTCAATGATTTTGAGTTACTGGACACAGACAAGCTGCGTGTGACTCACTCAGCCAAAATCGCGAACGCAACTACTATGCAATCGAATCGATATTATTCTTCGATAGATCCGAAATGGGTTTTCCATTATTGTTTTGTCAAAAGAAAAACGAGCATTCATTTTATGTTGAATAACTTCACTAGAAGAATAAGAATATAAATATATATATCCTTTAACGTTATATAAACAAATTCCAAAGACAATTTCCTCCTTTCATCCCATCCCACTTCGTAGACAAAACGTTTTTAAAGTAAACAGATAACAATGAGCCGAAAAGAATCGAGGGGAGAAAATATTTTTTCTTCTCAAGTGAGGTAATGGACGTGTATTTATTGTAGGCGTCTAGGTACATTCCTATAGGCCACGATAAAAAAAAATCACTCGAAAATAACAATAGATTAGACGAAGAAATCTGACAATGCTGTTGTGCTATCGGAAAACAGCATTTCCTTTTAATTTCATTTTTTTTCTCAGAAGAACAAACGCTTTCATAGGAATATTTCGAATTTATAAGCAAATTAAACTTTTACGATGCATGTTTTATATGGCTACGGTAACTTACGGTACCGTTTACCATCAGACGGGCCGTATGCTTGTTTGCCACTATAGCAGCATAATAATAAATATTACTATTATTGAGTAATGAACTTTATCATTCCATATGGTGCCGGCATAAAATAGGCCACTCTTGTCTTTCCCGTAGTCGTTGTAAGAAGCGACTAAGGAGGCTTATGCTGGATGGACAGCAGCGTCCCTCTTAAAACATTACTAAAGGCCAAACTACAGTTGCCAAGAGTGACAACTATTGGCAATACCCCCCTTGTGAAGTAGGCTATGTTCAGCAGTGGACAGACACTGATACAACAATAGGTTTCGTCATTCAGGAAAACCTATAACACTATGACCTCTGTAATTTATTTCTCGCCCTTTTATAAAGCTCGTTGCTAGTTCTTGTCAGTGATAGGAATTTTAAGATGTTCTTAGCAGCAAAATTATTTATCTCCTCAGGATTTTCCAAAGGAGTTATATTATTTGTGCATGAGTGAGCTGCAACCACAAATTATAAGCCGTTTCTTCTTCATCGTGACAAAATCTGCAAACGGTTTTCGGATGTAAGCCTAAGGCTGTCGAATATCGGCCTTCCCCATAGACCCCATCACCTGCATCTAATGACTTTTTTTTATGCAACTTAAAATGGCAAACAAGCTGACGGCCCACCTGATAGAAATTGGTAACCGTCACCTATAAACATGAACAGAACCATGGACATAACAGAGTATACTGTTTCGCCCATGATACCTCCATGCGTTGCCATTTCTGAGGACTCAGGTGTTATTCCTCTGTACCCTGTAAATTCACGCGATATCCCACCCTTCAAACCGAAACACAGGCATGCGAACACAACTGCTTTACGGTTGAAACACGAATGGGATAGAGGTACCCAAGCAAACGACTTTTGTACAAAGTCTCCCTCTGGCTTTCTGCAATACATTTTAGGTCGTCACTACATAACGCCATCGACAGAAAGTTCACCCCCATATCTTAGAGCCTAGATACAGTACATTTTTAGAAATGTTTCCTCCCAAGAACGTTCAGGTTAAGAAATGAGCTCCCAGTCGAGGTTTTTCCAGCAGACTACAGCATAGGGTTTTTAAAAAAGGGAATAAAGAGATGCCTTCAGGGTCGGCGACGCGCATGTAATATCTCTGGTACTGCAAGCGTAACCGTCTGTTCATCTAGTGGGCCGTATGCTTGTTTGTCACCTCAGTAATATAAAAAAAATAATTCATTCATTCAGCTAAAATTATCAAACCATTAAAGGAAACACAATGGTGACAAAATTTAATAAATTTAACGTTAAATAACAAATGAAAAACGATTTTTTTCCACCTGGCAACGTCAATAGTATTTGATGTATTCATAGAAAAAGTTACACACTCAAACTAAAATATCAGCCGCCAAATAGAAACGACAATGTAAACATGACGGCACGAACAAAAATCAAAGTAAAAAGTGATAAAAGTGAACAAAAAACTTACAAAACTCGTCGTTCGCTATACTCAGTATTGACTGATAATGTCTCTGCAAGATAACTAATAACGCGGAATAAGTTTGTACGTTTGTATTTAGATCTTTATTGTGAAGGAAATATAATTTAATCTTACTAATAATTTAAAGGTGAAAGGGTTTTGAGTTTCAGTTAGTAAGAGGAATCATAAACCAAATAAACTGTAACTATTATTAATAACTATTAAGTGTTGATAATAACTATGTACCAATTACTATATATTGTAGTTACAATATCTGTATATTGGTGCAATAACGGATATATTAAATATCGGACATTCAATATTTAATATCGAATGAGGCGCCCGTTCGAAACAAATATAGATATCTGACTAGTAGGTATGGGTGATTTCGGAGTAAGTGACATTCAAATTTAATATATGAATATCAGTCCTGTACCTATCGATATTCATGACTAATAGGGGTGGATAATATATAGCAATATCTATATATCGGTCTAATAACGAATATGTTGAAAATCTGTTATCCAAAAAATAATATTGGATAATAAACTTTTAATATATTCGAAAATAGATATCCGACCGATATGAGCGATATCAAAACGGATATATATATATATATATATATATATATATATATATATATATATATATATATATATATATATATATATATATATATATATATAATTATTTATGTATAAACTTAAGTTTGTCTAGTTCTTTGTGTTTTAAAATTGTCACAATATTGTACACCGCTCTACCCGCTGACATCGATGCTCCTTTCCACTTTGAGTTTGCTGGAAAATAACTCTTTTAGAGATAAGCTCGCCTTTGTACATTTACTTACCTCTGTCGTATTTTCATGTATTATAAATAAATAAGATATGTCAATAAAGTTATTTGTGCTATGTTATGAAATTACAATCCATAATGGATGGCAATTGAAATTTTTGTCATACGACTTACTGATCCATCATTTCTGACGTGTAACATTGAGCAAAATAATATGTAGTAATATATTTAATTTTATATAAAACCTTTTACATAGTACACGTTACTCCTACATAGTGTAAAATTCAAATTGTATTTTGTAAATGTACAATCAATCTTGTTTTGTATCGACTATCTGTTATTTGAATATCTTCTTTACCTATATTTGGTAAAAGCTTTTATCCGTAAATATTTGCAACTTATAAATAAATATAATATAATTTATATTATTATATAAACTACCAATTAGATTTAAAAATAAATCTTTATGCATTTGACACCTCATTTCTTAAGGATGATTATAAGTTATTCAACAACACAAAACGACCACAGGTGAAGCTGTTGGATGCAACTAGTGTATTATACCTAGAGTATATACCAACTTTAATTGATATTTAATTAATTGATAATAATAATAAAAAAATCTTTTATTCTATGTTATATTTAAAGATAAATGTTTTCCATTTTAATCTGGAATGAAAATAGAAAATTAAAACACCATAATACTAGTAGATAGTTATTTAAAAAAAAAGAAAAGAAAAATAATAAATGAAACAACCAAAATAATTTATTTTTTATGATAGAATTTAATGTATAAACTTTTTTAATGTCATAAAGTCCATTTGATATATAAAATTGTATATAAAAATAAAACTGATTTATCAAAATGCAAACTTTTTGTATAAAACTATGTAAATAAAGATCATTCGCGTAAAACAAAATTTTCGTATTATATTTAATTAAAATTGTTCAAGTTATTTACCTATTAAAATAAAGTAAATCTAACATTGATTTATATATATATTGTACTAATATTATAGAGCGAGGGATGGGCAGCAACGTTCATCTTAAAACATCACTAAAAGCCTAACTGCGGTTAACAAATCCGCCTGGCAAGCATGGCAACTATTGACAAAACCCCCCAAGGAATGGCTTATGTTCAGCAGTGGACAGTTAAGGGCTGTGATGATGATGATGATGATGCTAATATTATAAAGAGGAAAGATTAGATTGTTTGTCTGTTTGTCAGTAACGAATAAACACAGAAAAACTCAACCAACTTTACAAATTCTTTCACCTATAGAAAGCTACATTATCAGTGAGTGTACGATACAACTATACAGGGTCAAAATCATGTTAATTTAATAGTATCATCATGCGGCCACCGATTCCTTGATTATTTAATATTTAATAATAATAACATTTATTTACAACAATAAAAGTAAGAAAGAGTACATTTTTTACTTTCATATTATTAGTTTTAAAATAAAGATATACCAAATAAAAAAATGTTCCGAAACTTTACTTCCCGTGCTATTTTATATAATATTATTAAGTCAATCATTAACAATTATATTGACATAAATAAATCATTATTACATTTAAATCAACATCAGCAGCTCGTACGTTGTGGTCCTTCGAGCCGGATAGTCTATATATTGTTCTCGAAAATTCTATCCATCCGTGCGAGGCCAGACCGGATTGCTAGTATATAATAAAGATAGAAACTTAATATTGATTATTCCGTTTCAGATGAGATGGCGACTGGCTGGAGGGATGGGCATACCGCTAGCGACAACCATCTTTTTCATGCTCCCACTCTTCACATCATCTACTGGTGACATACGTAAGTTCTTTACATACTTATACTATCATTTCACCACTTATCCCAAAGTCCTGCTTAACTTTGCAAAATCTTATTTTACTAATATAATAAAATTGTAACTAGATGTCTGTATATGAATGATCGTCATCATCATCTCAGCCATTATTTATTCACTGCTGAATATAGGCCTACCAAAATGGACTGCCATAAGGAACGGTCCTGAGCCATCTACATCCACAGACTCCTTGCAATGCATTTGAGGTCATCTCTCCAACTAATGAGAGGGCCTCCTACACTGCATTTGTACGTACGGCATGATGATGAACGGCAAATGTGGCAGATATTTAAGAAAAAATTATATGAAAGGTCTTAATAAGAACAATAGAATCCAAAACCATATTTCTTAGAAACTTTGTTTGCCTGTCTGTATGTTTGTTTATCCTGACATCACGCACAATCTACTGCATCAAATTGGTCGCAGTTTTCAATATTATGTTCTTGAAAGTTTAGCTTAAAAGCTGGTATGTATTTTATTTTGTACGCTATCTAGAAATAGCCTATTTTATTAACTTTCCTACTTCTGAAATCTATGCGTACCAAGTAGCGGGCAAAGAGCTAGTAAATAATATATAGACTCTATAATATAATACTTAGCAGAACCAAAATAAAAAAAAATAGATTACACATCGAAATATTTCGAATTAAAACAGACAGCCGTTTATTTTCAAGTTATTTATTCTAGTAACTTTTCGTTTTAGCAAAACCCCGCTTTATTCTAAAAAATAAAATAAAATAGGAAAAAAAGCATTAAAAAGTATAACTTCTTATTGTTTCTTCCAACATGTTTAAATAAATATGTAACATGACAGTAGAATACTTATCAACATAAGGTTGACTGGGAGAGAACGCCTTTAGCATTAAGCCCTCCATGCACTCATTTCCTGTACAATTAAATTAATAAATAATTAAATGAAGAAATGCTTGCAAATATTAGAAAATTCAATGCCGACATTTCTCTAAAGCTCGAGTCTGATAAAAGAATTCTAAAAGAAGTTAGCAAACGCACACGAATATAGATAGATACTCTTTACTGTTTCCTCTAAAAGATTACAATAGTAAACTTTTTATAGATACAAACAATTACAATAAATAATCACAATGAGAAAACAATAGGCGACCTTATCACTAAAAGCGATCTCTTCCAGGCAACGTTTGGATGGAGAGGAGTAATTATAAACAGTTTGATCGGAGGCGCAATGAAAATCATGTCATTTTTAAATACATATGGAGATGTAAAATATCACAGTCTGGTGCGGAGCGAGGTGCCTCTCATGAGTCCGATTCCACCACGTTCCACGGGTAGACGTCGTGTTTGGCACTACAGGTCAGCAGACTGGGATGAGATGCGGATTTTTTTCGCATCTTACCCATGGAGGCAGGTTTGCTTCACACTGGATGATCCCGACGCCATTGCCGATTCCATTGCTGATGTGGTGCTTCAGGGAATGGAATTATTTATTCCTAACTCTGTGGTGCCCGTCGGCGGGAAATCCCAGCCCTGGTATGGAGCCTCTTGTAGAACAGCATCTCGTCTGAAACAGGAGTGCTTCCTAACCTGGGCTAAAGGTGTGGCGACGCGAGATCCTAACACCAGTGCTCTTAAAAGAAGTATAACTCTGCCTCTAGGTCTTTCAAAAGAGTTATAGCCACAGCGAAGTCCGAGCATATTAGTAGAATTGGCAAGAGATTGGCTAGTTTGCCCTCTGGAACTCGAGCTTTCTGGTCTCTTGCCAAAGCTGCACAAGGGAATTTCTGTAAGTCATCTTTTCCACCATTGCGCAGGGAGGATGACTCGTTGGCCCAGAACGCTAAGGAAAAGGCCGATCTTCTTGGATCCATCTTTGCGTCAAACTCGACATTGGATGACGGGGAGAAATCACCACCGACCATCACGTGTTGTAGGAGCTCTATGCCTGACATTAAATTCACGCATAGCTCAGTGCGTAGAGCACTTTTCTCCCTCGAAATCCATAAGTCGAGTGGGCCCGATGGTATTCCTCCAATTGTGCTTAGGACGTGCGCACCAGAGTTGGCTCCGGTTCTTAAGCGTCTTTTCCGGCTTAGCTACTCATCGGGCATAGTCCCAAAGTTTTGGAAGACTGCTCTGGTGCATCCGATCCCTAAAAAGGGAGATCGCTCAGATCCAGCTAACTATAGGCCCATAGCTATCACTTCCTTATTCTCGAAGGTTATGGAATCCATCATTAACCGTCAACTGCTCCGGTACCTAGAAGAGCACCAGCTGATCTGTGATCGCCAGTACGGCTTTCGACAGGGACGTTCGGCTGGTGATCTTTTAGCTTACTTAACACACCGATGGGCAGTGGCAATCGAGAGTAAGGGAGAGGCCTTAGCAGTTAGTCTGGATATCGCGAAGGCCTTTGATCGGGTGTGGCATAGAGCGCTGCTTTCAAAGCTACCTTTATTTGGGTTGCCTGCGAGACTGTGCATTTGGGTCGCCAGTTTTCTCAAGGAACGTAGCATTAAGGTCGTAGTCGACGGAGCATGCTCTGATTTAAAACCTTTGAATGCTGGTGTCCCGCAAGGCTGTGTACTATCTCCGACTCTGTTTCTTCTGCATATCAATGATATGTTACAGATAAGTAATATTCATTGCTATGCAGACGACAGTACAGGAGATACATTATATACCGGTCATGCAAAGATCTCGCGGGCACATACCGATGAGTGCCGGAATAGACTTGTGTCTGAAATCGAAACTTCACTCCATCAAGTTTCGATCTGGGGTGAACAAAATCTTGTCCAATTTAACCCCAAAAAGACACAAGTCTGCGCGTTTACCGCAAAAAAGACGCCGTTTGTCGTATCTCCTCACTTTCAGGGCACTTCCCTTGATAAAAAGTCGAGTCTAGGAATTCTGGGCGTTAATATATCTTGCGACGTCCAGTTTTGCGGTCATCTGGAGGAGAAGGCTAAGATAGCTTCCAAAAAGTTAGGAGTGCTCAATAGGGTGAGACGATATTTCATGCCAGAACACCGCCTGAAATTATATAAAGCCCAAGTCAGGCCGCATATGGAATACTGTTCTCACCTGTGGGCAGGAGCGCCACAGTACCAACTCCTTCCGTTAGACCGCATTCAGAGTCGGGCGGCTCGAATTATCGATAGTCAACGCCTTACTGTCCGGCTTGATCCACTGAAACTGCGCAGAGATGTTGCATCTCTGTGCATCTTCTACCGAATTTATCATGGGGAGTGTTCTGAGGAATTGTTCGGATTGATACCTGCTGCTGATTTTCACCACCGTACAACCCGCCACAAACTAAAGTTTCATCCCAATCATCTGGACGAGTGGCGGTCTTCCACCGTGCGTTTTTCAAGGCACTTTCTTCCACGCACAACCATTCTTTGGAATCAACTTCCAGCAGCAGTATTTCCGAACCGATACGACAACATAACCTTCAAGAAAAGAGTATATTCCTTTTTAAAAGGCCGGCAGCACACCTGCAATGCCGCTGGTGTTGTGGGTGATCATGGGCGGCGGTAGTCACTTACCATCAGGTGAGCCGCATGCTCGTTTGCCCCCTGTGTTGTAAAAAAAAAAAAAAAAAAAATCAGTTTTTTGTTCATTGGTGTGATTTTTATAGTTAAAGTCACATTTTTTGGGGAGCAAAATCTAACTATACCAATATTGTAAAAAGGAAAATTTTTACAATTTGTTTGTTTATAATGGATAAACTTAAACACTATTCAATCGATTTTAAAAATTCCTATAGGCATTACCTACATAAAACTTCTTTATCAGTGAATGATATAGGCTGTAGCCTATACATAATATAATGTAACTTTCCTTTATTCCGACTATTAACTATAATATAATTAACTATTTTTTTAATGGGTGATAGTGAAATGGAAACCCCGCGTGCGCTAACGGTATACACTGACGGGGCACCAGTGAGAGATGATAGATGAGGATGAAAACAGATCAGTTAGCCCATCGTGATGAATACCACGAGAAGTAATCACGATGGTTTCCAGGGGGAACCACGTGGTAGTCGACCTGATTATTAACATTGCTAGCAATGGGGCTGTTAGACCCCATCACTAACAATCCCTTCCCCCCCCCCTATAATTAACTATTAGTTCCAAAAATTCTATCCACCCGTGTGAAGCCGGGCTGGATCATTAGTCTGCTATATAATGTGGTATATAATAAACACTAGGTTAGAAACGGAAATTAATTCAACTTTATTTTTGTAGACTTATACAAAATATTTCAATAAATTTATATATGTTTAAATAAAAATTAAAATAGAAGAAACTCAATACTGATCTTTCCAAAGCTCTGCTAAAATTATATGTACCTATTAGTATGTATGTATGTAATATCTCTAAAATACCATGGTTGCTGTATAATAGCAAACAAAAACACTACTAATGAATGTTAATAACATTTATAAATGTATTGAAAAACCAATCAATCAATAATTTAGGTTTACTATATTTTGATAGCATATTGCAACCACTAACCTTAATAACCATGTTACTAAATAGCATTAAGATTGTCTGAGTTAAAACAAAGTAAAAGCATTTTGGCAAACATTGGTCGTGTGGTCCCGGCATAGCATAGGCCACCCCTTCCTTTCCCATAGGTATCATAAGAGCCGACTATGGGAGGGCGAGGGATAGACAGCAGCATCCCTCTTAAAACATCTCTAAAGCCTAACTGCGGTTGCCTATCCGCCTGCCAAATGTGGCAACTATTAGCAAAATCCCCCAAGGGATGGCTTATGTTCAGCAGTGAACAGTTAAAGGCTGATAAGATGATGATGATGATGAAAAATATTATGAATTATGGCCCTAAAGAGAATTAAATTGTAAAACAGTACCGACACCTTGTATGGCCTAAATATAGCATGAGATTTCACAATGCATACAATTTCAATTTCAAAAGAAAAAAAATTTTTTTTATACATCTTAGAATGGCAAACGAGCTGACGGCCCACCTGATGGAAAGTGGTAACTATCGCCTATAGACATGAGCAGTACCACGGACATAACAGAGTATACTGTTTCGCCCATGATACCCCCCCCCCCCCTATGCGTTGCCATTCCTGAGAACTCAGGTTTTATTCCTCCGTACCCAATAAATTCACGTCATATCCCACCCTTCAAACTGAAACACAACCATGCAAACACAACTGCTTCACGGTAGAAACACGAATGGGACAGAGGTACCCAAGCAATCGACTTTTATACAAAGTCTCCCTCTAGTAATATATGTTTTAGTTTGTTGTTTTTTTTTCAGTTCAAGATATCATTATTTTTATTTCAGATGAACTCGGCTGATGTTTGTTCAAAAGTCGATAATATTATAGGATTTTCAGTGAAATCCGATTTAATTTTATATCTGTTAAATAAAAAATTTACTATTTGTTACCAATTTACAACAGTATCTTAAAGTTATTACTAGTACTCTGGGCAAATTATGTTCAGAATTTTCCTGGTATAACAAAATTAAGCATTTTAATATTTTATATCGAATAAGTATAATCATTTTTATTTACATTATTTACAAAAGCATTTAATTAAAACTTGATTCGTGGATTTGATGAAATTATTTAAATGGAAAAGAAAAAAAAATATTTGTTACCTAGTAATAAATTAATAAACAATTTATTACTAATACAAATTTACTTTCTGTTGGTTTAAATTTATTAATAAAATATAATAAATACACACTAAAGAAAACACTGATTTACTGTGTTTTTCAACGTGCGAGTCGTGACTCCTCAGGGGGTCGCGAAGCCTCTATAGGGCGCGAAAACTACCTTAATAAAAAAAAACAAATTTATAAAGATAGATACTAATTTTATATTTCTCCGAAACCTACTTCTGCAAATGCATAAAAATGTTGTATGGATTGAAGTATTCAGTCCCTACAACATCTTTGTAACATTATAAAATACATAAAAAAAAAAACGAAGGCTCGAGAGTCGCGATATATTTTTTCATACTAGGAGGGTCGTGTCATGAACAAGTTTGAAAAACACCGCACTAAATAATATCAGTTAAATCAACTTAATAAGATTTTGTTCTTCTGTTCAGTTCCTTGCTGGTCGCTGATTTTATTATAATTAAACTATGCAAGAACTTGGATCAGAAGAATAAAATAAAAATAATAATGGCGTATATAGACGTGCATGTATATTGATGAAGTAATAAAGAAGAACAAAAGACATATTTTATTTATTTATTTATTTATTCATTAGTACAAATATGTGTACATGGCGGACTTAATGCTAAAAGCATTCTCTCCCAGTCAACCATAGGGAAGTGTCAGAATACTCGAATAAAAGATCATATTCCATAAAATAAAAGAAAAACAAAAAGTATTTTATAATTTTAAAATAGTTTGCATTAGAATATCTTTGTTCGTATTGAACAAAAACTTTTAGACTTTCGAGCTGCATGGTTTATAGTTTATTACAAATGGCCGTGGTCTACAGTAGACTGAAGTAGCGCTGTCTTATATCCGCTACCGAGGTAGAAGTATTTTCTTCTACCCACTCATTCTCCCACACCACACTAATTGTGTTCCTATATTAAGGATATCTGTACATACCGTGTATACGGTCACACCGTGTCTTATTTGATGCATTCACCGACTGTCCCACTATAGCGAAGTAATGTTTCTTGTATCATTGTTGTAATAATAATAATAAACATTTTATTGCGCACAAAAGAGATGTAAACAAGGTGTATTTATACAGAATGTGCATATAAAAAGGCGGTCTTATCGCTAAAAGCAATCTCTTACAGACAACCTGTAACTGGTCGAAATGTCGAGATAACACGGGTAAATTCATATAGTTTACCTAAATGTACGCATTAATTGTAAACCATTAAGTTTATGTTTATCAGTTAAATTGTCAATTGTATTTAACGTTAAATATTCACTGTTTCTCTATCAGCGCTGATGCAATTACCATTTCATATTCATCCCATTAAAAAATCAACCCGAGGGGATAATACTTGCGCGTATGCAGTCGTGAATAAATCCTTACTCATCTGAAAGTGAGTTCTTTGTTCTTTTTTTGCTACTTAATTATAAAATTTGGTAAAAATGTAGTATGTGAAATGGATAAGTCATAAGTCAATAAAGTCACCTTTTATTTTATTGACTATTTATTTATCTATTTATTTTATTGTTTATTCAAGTCAATTAACGTAATCTAATCACACAGATGTAGGTATGTTAATTGCTAATCTAATATCGTCATAGTCGTAGAATACTGACGGATCTGACAAAGATTACATATATAGATCCGTCAGTATTCTACGACTATGACGATATACAGTATGTTAATTAACGATTCATTAATAAAATATAAAAAAAAAGTATTTTTGTATCCTAAAAATGTTATACTACCAAAAAATTAATTAAGTTTCTCAATGAAAAAGAACAACATGTATCTGTACCAATGACACTACACAGTACAATGTATACCTATTATTGTGCAGTAACGTTCATTCTTTTGTTACTCGTTCGGATTTGAAAATTTTTATTTTTATTTTTTATTTTTTTTATTTTTTAGACCCTGTTAATTAACACTAACACCACTAGTTTTAACGAATGTAATTTATTAATTAACATAATGTATTTATCGTACCAAGGACACCATGGCACTTCAAGAGGCAGAGTGTGGCGAGGCGGTGTACAACCTTCCGCCGATGTGACAGCCAACAACTCCGTTAGCAATGTGACCGCTCAACTTGGCGGCACGGCGTACTTACACTGCCTAGTTGGACATCTGAGTGAGAGAGGAGTAAGTTTATTCTTTTTATTTATTCTATTTCTTCTTAACTGAACATATCGAGCAAGATAATTAAATACTCTTTATAAGTTTTTCCAAAAGATTACAGTAGTAAACTTATTATAGATACAAACAATTACAATAAAAAAAAAGGAAAATAAAGGGCGGCCTTATCCCTAAGAGCGATCTCTTCCAAGCAACCTTTGGATGGAAAAAAGTAATTATAAACAGTTTGGCTGGATTTTTGTTTTCTTTAAATAAATATAGATATAATAATTAATGTTCTGTTTGCCTCATGGTTGACCGTTTTTCTTTAATGGGTGATAATGGAATGGTAGCCCCACCCGCGCTATCGGTATACACCGGCGGGGCTCCAGTTAAAAATGATAGGTGAGGATAAAGCAGGTCAGTTAGCCCATCGTGACGAATTCAACAAGAATTGTTCACGGTGGTTTCTAGGGGAACCACGTGGAGATCGACCTAATAGGGCATATTGCTAGCAATGGGGCTGTCAAACTCCATTGCTAACAATCCCTTTTCCCCCAAAGAACACCGTTAGGTGTTAAGTCTGCCATATGTACTTGTACTTATATAACTGTGCATTGAATTTTATATATATAAATAAATAATATGCACAATAATGTGAATATACAAATGTACATTTTAACTTACTAATAGATACTTAAATAATTCCATTAAAAGATGATAAAAGTGGAAGAAACAAAAGAGGTTTGTTTGAATCGAAGTATTTGACATTCCATTGTTTCTACCTACCCAAATGGTAAACAGGTTTGACAGATATGTATGTATATATGTACATTAAAAGATCAAATTAGTTTTATTTAGTTTTCCAACTCTACCAACTAGACTCTGTTCCCGATTTCTAATGACTGTTTTAAAAACAATTTATCGATATAAAAATTAACTCATTATGAACATGAATCCTTATTTAAATTACATTAAGTTACTTTGTATAATTTAAATTAATTTATAACATATTTATGTTTTGTGATAATTAATTTAATTTGTAAATGTATATTTACAGCAAGTGTCATGGATAAGGAAGCGTGACTGGCATATATTGAGTTCGGGGAAGTTTACATACACCAACGATGAAAGATTTCAGGTAAGAATTATTACTTACTAGCTTTTACTCACGACTTTGTTCCCCGGTCTATGTTTTCTGACCGGAATAAAAAGTAACCTACATCTTTCACTATTCCATATAATATATGTGTACCAAATTTCATAATAATTGGTTAAGTTGTTACGATAACAAACAAACAAACTCATTCTCATGTTTATAATATTAATAAGAATTTAATGAAATTTATTCAAATTCACAAAAATTTTAAATGCAAATGAGCTGTGTAAATTAAAAACTATAAGCTTGATTTTTTCTGTTACTTGTGCCAAAACTAATTAATAAACATTAAAGGCCCCGAAGTTTCTAAAATAAAAAAGTTTCTTTAGCATCTCGGTGATCGCTTTGAATATTAAAAATAAAAAAAATAGTTTATCATGTAATTAAATGCCCCTGCAGCCGTGCCTCATAAATAAATAGAACTTATATAAATAGAGCATCGAGCCTCAAAAACGGGTCAACATTATGTCAGCTAATTGTCAAATTAGCTGATTCGCTTTTTTTTTATTAATGTTCTATATACTTAGGCACACAATATATCTTGACGTATCTATACTTAATTATTTAATAAATAAAATTAATTTTTGCGCATTAAAATGATACAAAATTACACCGTACACACGCAAAATTGTATGAAAAATTTGATCCGCTTTTCTCTAGGCATTTGTATGAAGACACTCTATCGATATCATCTAAGAAATAGATATTTCAAAAAAATCTATTTTTCTTATAAAATATTAGTGAAAAGTTGTCATTCGTAAAATATAATATTATGAAATGATTATAATAGGATAAGCAAAGTCGAGTCCAAGTCGAAATTGAAAGTAAAAACACGTTATACTGATTCTAATCGTGATGACAATTTGATGACGTGATAATAATGATGAGGTAGTTAAAAGCAATATTTTATATAATTCCTAAGACAATAGAAGCTCTCTAGATAAGTACTTAACAATTCTGTCAATAGATTAAAACGGCAAACCCACCTAATGAACAGTAGTAATATTAATTATTGAAAAAATAAGCATGAAAATAAATAAATAAAGAAAAAGCTGTAAGATAGGGGATTAACCCATAGGTATAACATGACAAAACCAAAAACAAACTGATGCACAGACAGATCCACAGAGGATTGTGGTCCAACGACCAAAACTATGAACAAAAGAATTAGGAACTCCACTAAGAAATACATAGAACTGACAGGAAATGAAGTATAAACGGAATAAAAGAATGGATGGAGAGAAAAACTGAGGAAACTAGCTAATAATTAAAAGATTTAGATATATAACCTGAAACTTAATATCCGGGAAAAAGCGTGCTCCTTAGGGGGAGCCACAATAAAAAAAAGTAACCATCGCTCAAAAAACAACACCATAGATATTATAGAATAAATACACTAATGTTTCTAATCCTGAGGACTATAGTGTTATTCCTCAGTACGCAGTTATTTTACTACCATATCCCACCTTACAAACTGAATCTCAGTTATGCAATCACAACTGCTTCACGACAGAAACAGTCGTGGCACCCTAGCTTTTATACAATACCTCCCACTGATAATTTGATGAGCTATTATTAACTCCTAAACTATTTCAGGTCTTACACGGGGAAGGTTCGGAAGATTGGACCCTCCAAATCAAGTTCGTTCAGAAACGTGACAACGGCACCTATGAATGTCAGGTAAGTTATATGCACAGTTACATCTTGTCTATACTTTTCTGTGTGGCTCATCATCAGCATCATCATATCAGCCCTTAAAGTCTAACTGCGGTTTCTGACCAACCTGCCAAGCATGGAAACTACTGGCAAATCCCCTTAACCATTAAAATGTCTGATTTTTTAAATCAAATTAAAAAATATATAAGTGTACCCTTGACTGTGTTTACTAATGGGGAAAAGTAGTATAAAAATCAAAACGATATTTTTATATATTTATTTTGAAAAAAACATTTGGTAACATGTAAACAGCCAAATAATAAAATAATATCGATTGTAGACGCCCAATGCGATTTATAACCCCGGTATCAAATTTGAAACTTAAGTATTTAAGGGTAGTAAACTCAGGTACTTAAGGGTTAGGGGGAGACCTATGTTCAGGGAACAGTTAATGGCTAACATAATATGATGGCGGGAAGGGATTATTAGTAATGGGGAGGGTAGTCTCCATTGCTATCAATATACCCCATCAGGTCGACCTCCACGCGGTTAAAAAATAAAAATTTGTATTACATGTACGCATTTAGATATAAGCATTTTTAAAATAAGTTACAAAACAAAATAAATTATTTCTAATTTCTAAGTAACTATTTATCGTGGTAGCTCAGTTATTCAGGTCAAATCCGTAAAGAAGATCATATTTTAAAAACAAAAGGAAAATCCGGGAAATAAAAACTTTTATATTCACGTAGAGGGTATTAATAAATCTACCACATAAATCTAAGTGACATTTGTCTCCGAACAGGTTTATTGATGATTCCCGTGAATAATTGATTTACCTTTCGAATTTATATGCTCGATTGGTTTGTTTTAGATAAAAATGCTTACGTAAATACGTTCTAATTATAGATTTCATGAACGAAGCTAACAAATATTTATTTGTCGATTAATCATCAATCAGAATGTGGTTGTCTCAAAAAAATACAGACTTCAATTGTGATAAAACCAGTTATTTTGATCTAAAAACTAAATTACTGAATCGATTTTGATAAAACTTCTATGAGCCCGATATGTAAGTATATTCAGTAAGTCACCAGAGGGAGACTTTGTACAAAAGTCGATTGCTTGGTTACCTTTGTCCCATTCGTGTTTCAACCGTGAAGCAGTTGTGTTTGCATGGCTGTGTTTCGGTTTGAAGGGTGGGATATGGCGTGAATTTACTGGGTACAGAGGAATAACACCTGAGTCCTCAGGAATGGCAACACATGGGAGGTATCATGGGCGAAACAGTATACTCTGTTATGTTCTACAGCTCATGTCTATAGGCGACGGTTACCACTTTCCATCAGGTGGGCCGTCAGCTTGTTTGCCATTCTAAGTTGTATAAAAAAAAACATATTCTTTCAGATAAAAGAAGATATTTCCAAATCGGTTTATAACTAACGGAGTTATAAGGTAACAAACATAAAAAATACAACCGAATTAAGAATCACCTTCTTTTTAAAGTCGGTTAAAAATAAGGTCATATTCACACGTTTGTAAATTGTAATGTATATATATATTTTTTTTAAATACTTCATCCACGTAATCGAAATATGCTTATTTTTTTATAATAAGAATGGCAACTAAGCTGACGTTTCACCTGACGAAAAATAGTAACCGTCGCCTATAGGAAAGAAAGAGATTGTTATTAACGGAAATCTAACTGCCCCATTACTAGCAATATTACCCATCAGGTCAACTTCCACACGTTTCCCCTTAGAAATCGCTGTGTGAAATGTGTCACCATGGACTAACTGACCCATTTTCACCCCTAAAGGTTAATTACAGACAGGATTATCATTTCATTATCATCCATTAAAAATCCGTCGCTTATAGACATGAAACATACCATGGATCTATCTCTATCCCAATCAGCAAATTTTAATGACAATCGGTTAAGCCGTTAATGCGTTATGAAATAACAAATAAACAAATTCACTCTCATCTCACAGCGTAAAACAATAATATTGAGTGAATTTAGTACCATTCCATTTTCACCCATAAAAAACTGTCTAATACAAAACTATTACAAGATCACAGGGTATCATAGTATATGGTGCTGTTCATATTTATAATCATAGGCGAAAGGTTACCCTTTTCCATCAAATACTCATCAGCTTTTTTGCTATTATGTTGTATTAGGCATTAACAGTCCACCGCTGCACATAGCCACCCCCCATAAGTGGGGATTTTGCCAATATTTACCACGCTTGGCAGGCGGGTAGGCAGCCGCAGTTTAACTTTTGGCAATATTTGAAAAGGGACGCTTCTGCCGTCCCATCATCACAAGCTCCCTCAGTTGCCTCTTACGACTCCTACGGGAAAGGAAAGGTTGGCCTATTCTATGCCAGGACCTACACGGCTATTTTCTTTGCTATTATATTTGATAAGTATCATAAAAAAAGTTACTTCTATTTAAATGTTTATCACCAATCGTAAATATCTAATATATGTATAAACTGGTCCTAAGATCTACGTAGATGTTCCATAGTAAATTACAGCGAGCTCGCTTTGCGATGGGTGCGAGCAAACAAAATGGCATCTAAACGAATTGGAACGAGGCACAGACACGGAATTTCATTAGTGGTCGACTTTGACCTTTTGTGGGAGGTGGTGAGCATCGATGTAAAGAAAATCGATTCTAGAATCGAGTAGTAGTCGAGTCTCCGAGACGGGCGGTGTAATGTAATAAGCACTTGGCTGCGGTTTGCTCGGTAGATACTGTGTAAGCCGACAGCTCAGGGGCACAATTCCACAATTCATCGATCGCATCGATCATTGAGGTTAAGTAATATTACAACGCAGACAGTGAAGGGCGAATACTCTTCTTGTTCTGCCGTATCAATAGACAATTTAAATAATTTTGGACCCGAAATTAGCGACTTCGACAGCACACTTTTTTTAATGGGTAAAAATGGAATGCCTGTAAGAAATGATAGGCGACGAATTACACATCTGATTAAAACCTAATTTCACATGTATTTATTTAATTAATTAATTTAATTTAAAAAAAATTAAAAATTTGATTTAATTAATTGCAATTAATTAAATAAATACATAATAATAAATAATAATTAATTTAAATATAATACCCATAACATCTTAACATTCATTTCATATCATTCTCCTCTATCTATATCTACAAAATTTCTGAAAAAAAAATAATTTCTGATTAACTTTATCTACAACCAATACCTTTCAAGTCATTTGAATAATGTCTTACTTTTTATGCATGACTTTATTCCAATATACGAATAGGACGTAATAAGAGAATGTGAGAGAATCATATTACATATTTATTCAATGTAATATGTTCTGGAAAGATATTTTTTTTACATTAGTATTAAGGACTTTAAGATCCCGGCTGTATATGAAACATAATGGGATTTGCTTTGTATAATCCGTCAATGTAAATATACCAATTCGTTAATATTATACATTCAGAATGAAACCCCTATTAAACTCAGCGGGTTAAACAAATCAAGTCGTATTATAATGCTTGTAATGTGAGTTTTGTACTCTCAATCCAATGTCCTGTGTAATGTCTTATTGAAAGATGTGTTTTTTATGCAACTTATAATGGCAATCAAGCTTACGGCCCACCTGATGGAAAGTGGTAACCGTCGCCCATAGACATGAGCAGTACCATGGACGTAATAGAGTATACTGTTTCGCCCTTGAGTGGTAACCGTCGCCTATAGACATGAGCAGTATCATGGACGTAATAGAGTATACTGTTTCGCCCATGATACCCCCATGCATTGCCATTCCTAAGAACTCATATGTTATTCCTCTGTACCCTGTAAATTCACTGCCATATCCCATCCTTCAAACTGAAACACAGCTAGGCAAACACTGCTTCACGTTAGAAACACGAATAGGACAGAGGTACTCAAGCAAACTACTTTTGTACAGGGGGGAAGGGATTGTTAGTAATGGGGAGGTTAATCCTCGTTGCTATCAATATACCCTATCAGGTCGACCTCCACGCGGTTTCTCCTGGAAACCATCGTGACTAATTTATCGTTGAATTCGTCACGATGGGCTAACTGACTCGCTTCATCATCCTCACCTATCATCCCTCACTGATGCCCCGCCAATGTATAGCATTAGCGCAGGCGAGGTTACCATTCCATTATCATCCATTAAAAAAACTACTTTTGTACAAAGTGTCTCTCCGGAATGTGTATAGAGAGAACTGATTTATAGTCACAAATACCTCCATAAATATACTGGTTAAAATCAAACTCTTTAGCATCCTTTAAAAAAAGATTATACTAATGGCATTAAAAAAAAACTCCAAACAAAATACGGGTCAGAAAAAAAACCATAATGTAATATTGATTTATATATTTATTAATTTAATATGTACAATGTATAGTTATTTATATATGTAATGTATATGATTTATGTATGTATATTATTTGTAAGTATATTATTCTATATGTTTATATCTTTATTTATGTTAATTTGTTGTTATCTCTCAAAATATTTAATTAATTTACAATTCTTTTTACATCTATTCACCGCCATTTACTCTCTCTGTTTAGCGTAACGGTTGACTGGTAGAGAATGTCATCAGGCATTAAGTCCGCCCTGTGGACATATTTTAATGTGTGCAAATATATAAATAAATAATAAAATAATCAACTTGACAGGTCGACGCACCATAATATGTGAAGCTCAAAACTTTATTATCTTATTACCAATTCTGAATCAATTAAGATATTTTCTTTTTATTTAATACGACTTTTTTTCCCTATCTTTACCTTATTGTAGTCATACGATTTCGCTTTAAAAATTGAAATATTTTTAATGTAGGGTATCTACAAAATAAGTCATCTTTTATTCATGTATTTATCATTTACTAATTAAATTGATATTTTATGGAGCGAGTATTTGTAGAGACATATATCAAAAAATTTATAAACGTTTTTTTTATACAACTTAGAATGGCAAACAAGCTGACGGCCCATCTGATG